ACTCCTCCGCATATCACCAGCACAGGATAGATGCATTTGAAATAAACAATGTTTCCTGCATGCTTGCTATGTCCTAATGGTTCCAAGTAACATACGAACGTTAACTCCTATAATCCTCATGCTGACTTTAGGAGTTAGGTACTGTTAATATCATTGTCTCACAGATGAGGAAAACTGAGGCGTAGAGAGGCCAAGGAATGTGCCCAGGGTCATACAGGGAGAATGCAGGTTCTTCACCTACCTACACTGTCCGCTTTGTCCCAGAATGAATGACTTTCAGGTTCTCCGCACCCTGCAGGGATTCTGTGGTGGGTGGTATGGCCCAGGGAGACTGGGGCCTCACATCCCAATGCGGGTTGTGTAGAGTTTCCTGGACTGACCCCAGCCCTCTCTCCTTCCCTCCCGCACCTCCCTTACTCATAGGCGTACCCTGGCTGACATCATCATGGAGAAGCTGACTGAGAAGCAGACGGAAGTTGAGACAGTTATGTCAGAGGTGTCAGGCTTTCCCATGCCTCAGCTGGACCCCCGGGTTCTGGAGGTCTACAGGGGAGTCCGGGAGGTAAGAGCTGAGAGGAGAGCCATGATGGAATACCCTGCCAGGGGCTGTGGGCTCCCACCTCCAGCTTTCTCTTCCCACACAAATGAGGCTCAGTGGCCAGGAGCAGACTTAAGAGCCCGTGTGTGTGGGTCCTGATTCCCGCTGTGCCACTCAGGCACTTGGTGGCCTTGGGGAAGGTTCCTTAATCCTGGTCTTGGTTTCCCCACCTGGGAAATGAGGTGCTAGGAGCACATCCTTACAGGGTTGTTGTGAGGACTAAGTGAGCAAGCCGTGAAAACCACACAGACGGGCCTGGCGTGGGGCATGCGGCTTCTGTGTCATTGGCAGTGTTCATTCTGCAACCCCGTCCCCAGGTGTTATCCACATACCGCAGCGGGAAACTACCCAAGGCCTTCAAGATCATCCCTGCGCTCTCCAACTGGGAGCAAATCCTCTACGTGACGGAGCCCGAGGCCTGGACTGCAGCTGCCATGTACCAGGCTACAAGGTGGAGTAAAGGGGGTTGGGTAGAGGCTGAGGGTGAGGGGGACAGGCTTTGGCTGCCATTGTTGTTTTAGTCCTGCCCCAGAGCTCTAGCCTGTGCTTCTTTAGCTCAGTTTCCCCCGCTTTCCTGTTTCCGGCCTCAGGGCCAGGACCACGTTGAGACTCTGCTCTGATGAGTTTCCAGAAGCAGGGCTCATAACTACTGGGGGACAACCCTTGGTGTGTCAGAGGGGCCTCCGAAGTCTGTGGCTCCCCAGGCAGGCTCAGTTCCCTCGTAACGAGCATAGAGAGAACCCATGTTGGGGAAGGAAAGGGAACAGTGGAGAGCACAGGCTTTCCTAAAGACAGCACTCACTCTGCTTGGGGGCACCTGGTAGCCTTTCCTGTGCCCTCTCATCTGACTTGGGTGTCGGGTGCACACAGCTGACTGACTCCCACACACCCCTCACATCTCATGTGTGCACCAGCCATGATGATACTCAAAGTGCCAGTGCCACACTGTCCAGTGACCTGGGATCTTCCCCCATATCCCTCCTTCCCACCCCCCACCCCCCAAAAACTAGGATTTTCGCCTCTAACCTCAAGGAACGCATGGCTCAGCGCTTCTACAACCTTGTCCTGCTCCCCCGGGTACGAGACGACATCGCCGAATACAAACGACTGAATTTCCACCTCTATATGGCTCTCAAGAAGGCCCTGTTTAAGCCCGGAGCCTGGTTTAAAGGTGGGAACCCAGGAGGCCACTGAGAGGGAGGGACTGGAGCTCCTGCAGGTGAAAGCAAAAAGCCTGACTTGGGAGCTGACTATATTTCGGGTAGGTGGGGAGCTGCTGTAGCGCCTCACCCTGAACTCAAGGTGACCCCCGTCTGACTCTCCCCAGGGATCCTGATCCCACTGTGCGAGTCCGGCACCTGTACCCTCCGGGAAGCCATCATTGTGGGTAGCATCATCACCAAATGCTCCATCCCTGTGTTGCACTCCAGGTAGTGTCGGTGGGAGTGGAGGACAGTTAGGAGAGACCCAGATAGGAGAATCCCAGGATGGGGGGGTAGGGGGACACACAGAGTGGAGAAGGAGCTGGAACAGCCCTGGGTCTGTGGCTTGTTGAAGCTCCTGAGTGTGTTGCCACTCCACTAGAATGTAAGCTCCCCCAAAACAGGAGCCCAGTGCCTGGCACATGGCAGGTGCTTAGTAAAGAGTTGAATGAATGAATAGGAAACATGGGAAGAAAGTGTGTAAGGGTGGAGATCTTCACATGCTTGAACCTATTCTAGCCAGATACTGAGACCAGCGGTTGAGCAAGAAGTAGGGATCTGGGGTGAAATCTGCGTTGAGCTGGTAACTGGGGCCGAGGGAGTGTCAGGTTGGGTAGGTGAGAAGGCAGCCTGAGATGGCCCCCTTCGGGAATAGCACAGTGCAGGGGCCAACAGAGGAGGAAAGGGGTCGGAGGGTCGGTAGAAGGCGGCCCTTCCTCCAGCATCCCCCCACCACTAATCCTTCCCCACCAGCGCAGCCATGCTGAAAATCGCCGAGATGGAATACAGCGGTGCTAACAGCATCTTCCTGCGACTGTTGCTGGATAAGAAGTATGCGCTGCCCTACCGCGTACTGGACGCCCTGGTCTTCCACTTCCTGGGCTTCCGGACGGATAGGCGCGAACTGCCTGTGCTCTGGCACCAGTGCCTCCTGACTTTGGTCCAGCGCTACAAGGCAGACCTAGCCACGGATCAGAAGGATGCCCTCTTGGAACTGCTCCGACTGCAGCCCCATCCACAGCTGTCCCCTGAGATTCGGCGTGAGCTTCAGAGTGCGGTCCCCCGAGATCTGGAAGACGTGCCTGTCACCATGGAGTGAGGAAAGTGACTTGCCCTGGTCTGAGGAGGCATGAGGGGACACCAGGATTCCCTGTTGGTGACACACAGCTTTTAACAGCTGAACTGGAGACAGGTCAGGACAGTGAGTGGTCACAGGCAGCTGTGACTCCCAGTGGCTGACAAGGAGGACTGGAGGGTCAGGCTGGCTCCCTCTTCCATTCTGGGTCTTCGTCCCTACTCAGTTCTGAGGCTTGACTGGAGGTGCCCCACGCCAGCATTCCCACTCCCTGGCCGGGACTTGGAATAGGTTCTTTCCCGCGGGCTGTTGTGGCTCATTACTGGGCTACGTAGATAAAAACCGAAGGCAGGTATTTATTGAACTTGTGTGTTTTGATGTGATCAGTGGAAATCTTTGTTTTCCCTCTTCAGCCGGCGGGAAGCTCTTCCCTATTCATGTTCAGAGCAGATTCTTAACAGGTGATACCCCTCCCTGCCTCCTCATTCTGTCAGTCTCTGTCTCCAGGTAGAGTCTTCACAGAGTCAGAAGCTTCTTTGGGGGAATGCCAGCAACTAGGAAGGAGGGTGTTTCAAAAGATGGTCCTGTCTCAGCTGTGGGTGGACAGCTGCAGGAGAAAGTCCCGAGAGAAAACCACAGCCACGGAGAGTAAGGTCGGGCCCCGGAATGCGTCAGTTTGGAGTCCCCGCCAGCCAGGTTCCCTAATTTTCTTGGCTACTTAAAGCTTCAGACCATATGTTGGCAGAGTCGAGTCGTAAGCAGATTTTCCTGCAGCCCGTGAGCTAATCGTGATTTTTACGTTTTTTAAGTGAGAAAAAAACTTGAGTATTTTGTGATAGGTGAAAATTATATGAAATTCTGATTTCAGTGTCCCTAAGTAAAGTTGTGTTGGGACACAGCCATGCCTACCCGTTTGTTTTTTATGGGTGCTTTGATGCTACAGCAGCAGAGCTGAGTAGGGTTGGACCTCGAAGAGTACACGGGATTGGGGCGCCAACCGCCTCATAGAGCCAGAAATCTGCATATAAAACTTTTGACTCCCCAGACATGAGCACCAGTAGCCTCCTATGACTGGAAGCCTTACCAATAACCAGTCAATTCACACGTTTTGTAGGTTATGTGTCATACCTACAGCATTCCTACAATAAAATAAGCCAGAGAAAGAGAGATGTGAAGGAAATCGTGAGAGAACACATTCATAGTCCCATAATATTTATCAGTAGTGTTAAGTGTATACATCTATTGAGAAAAATCTGCATATGTAAGTGGACCTGCCTGGTTCCATCCCATATTCAAGGGCTACTGTACAGTCCTTCTAGAACCCTTTTTTTTTTTTTTTAAGTTTTATTTATTTGACAGAGATCACAAGCAGGCAGAGAGAGTGGAGGAAGCAGGCTCCCCGCTGAGCAGAGAGCCCAATGTGGGGCTCAATTCCAGGACCCTGGGATCATGACCTGAGCTGACGGCAGAAGCTTTAACCCACTGAGCCACCCAGGCGCCCCTAGAACCCTTCTTGTTTGCTTTTGGTAGCTTTCTCCCAACCCAGTTCATGTATTTGGGGAGAAACTGATCATTAATTTCGTATTTATCTGCATTTGCGTCTTTGAGAAACACTTAAACAGTGCCTGGCTGCATCCAGCTGGGTACTACAAACTGCACAGGCCCCCAACACCAGAGCTGCCTCCGTTTACCTCGTGTGGGGAACCACACGCACACACACTTCAGTCTTTTTCAAGAGAAAGGGCTGTATTACAGTATATAGGTTTCTTAACCATTTAAAGCAAAAACTACGCTACCTACTTCATTTCCTTCCTAAAAATGTGTCACTAAGTTACGGAATGTTGTGCCTCAAGCCTGTTTTCCCTGGGCCCTGTGGTTTTTGTTGAGCAATTCTGCATGGTGCCATGAGTTTTAGGAATGCATACATCCCATTGTAATGCAGAACTGACTGTATCTGGGGCAAAAACCAAATGGCCAAGAGCCTAAAATACTCTGGCCTTTCACAAATTGGCTTTGTGAGGACCCCTGCCTGTGTCATGACCCTTGACTTCCGCCCTGCTTTTTATATCATGCGCTCCAGAAACAGCTTTTGCCCGTGCCACCATCCAACCCAAGAAGCCAAAGCCAGGTTTATTCCAGAATCTTTATTAAGTAGCGTGATGGTCCTGGGCCACCAGCCTGGACCTTGTGGCCTTAAGAAAGACCTGTGTCAACAGGGCTTGCCTCCCTCTCCAGACGGGGGCTGTCACCTCCAGTTTATTCCTGCTCCATCCCTCACCCCCAGAGGATGGGGCAAAGGGCCAAGGGAGAGGAGGGCATGGCCCCACCCCAGGCTGTAGCAGCTCCTCGGCCACAAAGATCCTCCAGCCAGTAGAAGGGAGGGCTGCAGCAACCACCAGGGTTACTGCCACCTGTGGGGTAGATGGGCCCCACCACACCCTCTTACAGCTTTCCTCAAAACAATAAATTAAAACCACCTCTTCCTTCAGCACTGGCCCCCCTCAATCACACAGGAGAAGCTGAGCGGAAAGCAAAGCGGAAACCAAGGAGGGCTTGGTTGGTCCCGCCCCTCTGACAGAGGCCTGGGCCAGCCCTCTGGGAGCAGCTGTGGGCATGGATCATGCAGGGGCCTCCAAAGTGTGTCAAGAGGAGCTGTCCAGACTGTTTCCCCTCACACACGTCTACCAGAGTATCTGAAACTTCTTCAGAAAGAACTCTGGAAGGTGCGACACCTTTACAAGGCACTAGGGGCATGTGGGCATCTGAGAACGTGAGAGGCCCAGAGATAAGGGCACCTCAAAAAGAAATGCTGGTACGTGTATTTTACCTACTTCAATTTCATTTCCAACCTGCCTGGCCCGCCACCAGCTAGGATCAGGGAAGCGGCAGAGCTGGTCAGATGCAGAGAAAAGGAGAAGCCCAGCCAGCCACCCACACATAGCTGGCCAGGCCCCTTAGTGCACACTGCAGAGATATTTTAGGGCCTAACCCCTTAGGCTTTGCAAGGGGCAAATAGGAAGGAGCCCCCTCAGGCTTTGGATGTGGCGTGGTTCGTTCCTGCAGGCAGGGAGGGTGGGTGGCAGTGTCCCCTATTCTGCTGCCCATGGCCACTGGAGGGGGCCTCTCCAGGGCTACAGGTGGATAGCTGTGACATCTGTGGGAGTGCTGGTCTGGCTGGGCCCCTGGCTACTGGAGCCCCTGGGGGCTTTGGGTGCTGGGCTGGGCGAGGTCTGGGCGGCTTCTCGGAGGCTCTCCCTGAGCGCAGCTTCGATCTGCTCCTGACAGGCCCGCAGGCAGTCCTGCAAACAGGGCAACAGTGAGCTGTGACTGCTGGGTACGATGGCAGAAGGTTGTCTCTTTGGGGACTAAGGGTCCGCTTCCCACCACCCACAGCATCTGGAGGCAGGTGTGGGGGAAGGACACCTTCCAGCACACAGGGAAGGGCTACTGGGGAGGTTAGGCCACAACCCAGCCCCAGGAATCAGCCTTCGGTTCTAAGAACCTGGCAAGAGGATGTGGCAAGGGGGTGTGAGAGCAGCCCTGCGTGTGACAGCAGATTCTCCACCCCCACTCCTGCACACTATTTGGCAGGAAAAGGGCACCCAGGGACAGTGCCCTTCAACCCACCCAAGGCGCCTGCTCTTCCCCAGACTGATGCAGTAGATAAAAGGCCACAGAAGCCCCAAGGGTGGGGCACCTGAAACCAGGAGGGGGACTGGGTTAGGGATGCACATCTCCCTCTGCTGGAGACCCAGAGAATAGCGCTGCATCAGGAACTGCCCCCTGGCTGCAGGCCTCGCCCCCCCACTCACCACCTCGGTGCCTGTGATCCCTGCCAGCAGCTCCGTGAGCTCATCCCCAGACGTGGAACACGCACCCAAGCCTTGCACTGCAGCCCCAATGCTGCCCGTGGCGATCATGGATGGCGGGTACATGGCGAAGGTGTAATCTTGGAAAGAGGGAGAGGGAAGCATGAGGCAAAGGCTTGGTGAGGACTTCCTGTGGCTCAGAAAAGTGCCAGGCAGCATGAATGGAGCAGGAAAGGGCCTCTCTTGAGAGCGCCAGGCTGGACAGCAAACTCCCACACCACCATCTGGTCCAGGGTGGTTGGTTAGTGAGCCTGACCAGGGACTGGGAAGTGAATGACTTCTCTTCCTGGTGTGGAAAAAAAAAACCAGGGTCAAGACGACCTTGGTTCTGCTCCCAGCTTCATCACTGTGAGACCTTGAGCAAGTCACTTCTAAGCTACCTACATATTTGGGGGGGGGTGTCTCTCAAATACCATATCGCTCCAATTATGTTCTGCTGCCTTCTCTGGGGCCCCCACCTCAGAAAGGATAGGATAATCACAAATTTTGAGGAGTATACACCACAATCCAGTTACATGCCATCCTTCCCAGTCTTCGGATTTTCCTCATTTGGCAAAAAAACAATGTGTACAGGGCTCTTACCTGTAGCACAGAGGGCCAAAAAGGTCTGGGCATGTTTTTTGACCAAGGCTTGTCGGTCGTGGGGCAGAGAAAGCCGGTGCAGAATCAGGGCCAGGAAATCATGGGCAATCACAGCAGCCAGGTCCCACTTCAGTTTTCCCAGGACCAGCACCTCCCAGTCCTGGAGGTTGGAAAGAGGGTGGAGTCAGTGGTTGAGGAGGGAAGGAGAGGGAGTAAAGCAGAAGTCTGCCGGGGAAGGAAACCCATCAGACTTGAAGGTCAAGACCCCAGTTCTGCTTCTGGGTTTACAGACTGGTGCTGCAGAATGGCAAGTCCTGGGGGAGTTGGCTTTGGGCACCTGCTGCTCGCTTACCAAGTACCAGAACTACATGGTCTATATAAATTGTCTCTTTCGATCCTGTTTGGTTATCTTTCAGGGGGGCCAATAATACAGGTCCTTTCCTGACCTCATGCAGGGTTCTGGACACTTCCCCAGCCAGGGCTGAAAGAAAAGCACCAGCGAATACCACCGGCAGCATCATAACTTTGAACCTCCTCTGGAATGAAACAGATTCTCCGAAATCCCAAGGATTTATGAAAGGGAAGACCACCACTAGCCTCTCCTCCAGTTCTGCATCCCAGCCAAGTCCACACCTCTTGAAGACACCAGAATGAACATGAGGCCATGCCTCCTGTGACAGAGCCACTGAACCAACCCTGAGGTTCCTCAAAGGGGAGGTTGCCCAACCCAACCCACATCCCGTTGGTGGGACACTGGGGGGTGTCTGAGATGTAGCACCCCACTGTACCCCCTTTCCCTGGAACCACAGTGGCTAGTGCCATCTAAGCCTCAGAAGCCAAGGGGAGGCCAAACCCAACAAGATAGGTCCAGATGATCCCTGAGGGACCAAAACCCCTATCCTTGCCTGCCCTCACCTACATACCACTGCTAGGTCCTGGCAGGGGAGGCTGGGAGCCCCACCCAAATCCACTCGTCTGGGGTTCCTAGTCCTGGCCCCATTTCTGAGTTGCACACATGAAGATTTCTTCACTGTTTTATCTCAGGAAGGAACTCATGGGTTTGGCTCCTTACTGAGGCAGAAATGGCAACCCCACCCAATCTCTTCCAGGTCCCCCGCCACAGCTGTCCCGTTCCTGGCCCCCACCTTAGTGTCATCCTCCCAAATCAGCCCCAAGCCTCTCACAGGGCCCTATAGAAAAAGCCTGGCCCAGAGCCAAAGTTGGGCAGAGAAGCCAGCATTCTACTCATGCTAGTCCCAGTGCTCCAACTTCTAACTCAGAAATGATAGAAAACACCTAGCCTCTAAGGAACCATTTAGAAGGGGTGAGGCCCTCCCTGTGGGGAGGAAGGGAATCCCATGTGAGAGAAGCAAGCCACCCCACCCTGGATCGGGGCAATTCCTGAAAATCTCCGCCCTCACTTGGTGGACAACACAGCCCTGGGAGCAATTAGTGGCAGTGGTTGGCAGCTTCCACATCTGGAAGCTCTGAGGCCCCCTGGGCTAGCCAGAAGACCCTGACCTTCCTCATCTGCTTCGGTGCAGTCTTCCCCCTCCTTCTCTGGGCCTCAGCTGGGCCTCTCTGCTGCGCAAGGATTTGGACTGACTGGAGTTCTCTCTGCAGTCCCTTCCAACTCTGACCTTCTAGGAAGGCATCTGCACACTCCTCCCCCAGCTCAGGCAGCAGGAGTGGAGGAAGAGTCCTTGTGGCCTATTCTGGAAAACTCCCCTCTCACAAAGGCACACACCCCTTGCCAGTCTTTTCACAAAAAGGAAGTCCTCTACTACCCTCCTGCCCAAGCCCCTCCAAAAACATCTGGCTCGCTGGCCCTGGAAACCGGCTCCACCTCCAGACTTGCCAAAAACTACCAGATTCATCACAAAAGAGCTGTGAGGCCTCCCAGATTCCCAACTCCGGCCTCCTACTCCCATCTCCGAGAGCGACTTGGCAGGAAGAGGAATCCTGTTCCTCCACAAGCAGCAGTCGGGGGCCCCAGTACCCTGGCCTCCTGGCCAGCCAATCACAGCAGCCTCCAGGCTGCCCTCCTCCCCGGGAGATGGGGCCCAGAGACTCCTCTCAGGGTCAGGAGAAGACTTGGCCGGCCGTAGAGCAAGGTGGAGGAAGGTGCCAGCTCACCCATCCTCCTCTCCGGGCTCAATGGGGGAAAGAGAGCCTTGACTCTCCTTCCCTGCCTGGGGAAGAGTCCAGCCCAAGTTCCCAGCGAGAGGCCGAGGGAGCCACTTCCCAAACCACAGGAGTGACAGCAGCTCCCCACAGGGTTATGAAAGACTTCGGGGCAGAGAGGGTGGGCCCGGGGAGGGGGCAGCATTATCACATGGGAAGCAGCTGCAGCTCAGCTCCGGCCTCTGGCTGAGGGGGAAAGGGAGAGGTGACTCCAGTGGGTCGGAAGCAGCAGCTCAAGCTCCTCAGAATGAGGACAAGAAAAGAGCTGGCTCTTCTGGGATATAAAAGGAAGGAAGCAAGGTGGGATGACAACTCCTCAGCCCTTCCTGAGAGCAATCAGGGCCTGACCATAATTGGCTCTGGGAGGCTTTTCAATCACAAAGTCCACACTGGGACAAAGACTCAACCAAGGCAGCCCCCTCCCCCACATAAAGCACATTCCACTCCCCCCAACTCTAGTGGGGGATGGGGGGGTGCGGGCATGTCCTTTTGCTGCCAATAAATAGCTCACGGTAGCTGTGTAAACCCAGAGGCAAAGTACTAGTGAGTGGAGACATGCAGTTTGACTTGTTGCTATCTGGGGGAAAGACCAGGAAGGAATGGCACCCCCTGGAGGTCAGGAGAAGGGGATCCGACTGGTGCCGGCTGCTGGAGCCTGGGCGGGGGCTACCCTGACGGTCCCACCGCGGTGCCCCATCTTTTGCCCCCAAGATAAGCTGCCCGCTGTCCTGCCCAGGGGCAGAAAGCCTCTGAGGTCTCTGGGCTTTTCTTTTCCTGCTAAGTGAGGTGGTACTGTGTCGGGGGTGGGGAGATGTAGGCACGCACCCGCAGCTGGCGGGGAGAGACGGAGTGGTCGGTGTAGATGCACAGTTTTTCGATGGTCAGGGGCGTAGTCTCGCGCAGCTTGGAGGCCAGCAGCATGCAGACCGCACCCAGGAGCTGCAACTGCGCCTTTCGGGTGGGGACGCAGGACAGGTAGCGATCCAGGTAGTTCATGGCCAGGGGGAAGACTTCCTCCTCACAGCGCTGCTCCTCACAGACCTGGGGGAGGGCGCACAGTCACTTCTGGGGCGGGGGCCTGGGAAACGCTGCAGGACTGAAGGAGGGGGGCGGGTGGCGTCGAAGGGAAGTGGAATGGGAAGCAAAAAAATGGGAGGGGGGTATAAGTGTACCTTCGGTGACAAGGACTAACATACCGAGGAGGATTTGCCTTCCCCGAGGTGACGGCCCCCACTTCCTCTGAGTTGCCTGCCTCCTCGCCCCCTCCCCTGGGGGCTGGGGGGTTACGCCAGAGGCTCCCTTCCTTAAGAAAGATTCCAAACTCAGACTGCCCTCCCCCATGGCGAGAATGGGGTTGGGGAAACGGAAGAGTCACCCACGGTAGCCAAGAGAACTGGGACCTTACCCCCCATTACCACCACCCACTGCACACACCCAAAGGGAAGGGAGGAGACTCCAGCCGCTGCCTCCCGCACTTTTCATTTCCCTGACTGCCGGAACAGCGCGCGCCACCCCCACCGTCTGCCCAGCCAGAACCCCGCGACAGACACAGGAACCGGCTCTGGGGCGGGGGCGGCCAAGCCCAGGGTTTTCCAGGCGCGTTCTCCTGAGAAATCCGGGCGGGGGAGGGAAACAGGAGACGCCGAGAGAAGCCGAAGGGGAGAGGGTTGCCCTGGTCCCGCTTTCCCGGCCCAAAGAGAGGGTTAGTGAGGGTGCCAAACGACCGGCCGTCAGAGTTAGGGCTGGGGAAGGGAAAGGGACACCACGGAGGCAGTCGGCCCGCTAGGGCACCCGAGTGAAAAGCCAGGCCCCGGGGATCCGGGCCACCAAAGCATCTTGCCGATCGTTGTTGGGACCAGGATGTCCCGACAAGGCGGCCCGGGGATGTCCGGAGCCGGACGGCGGGGGAGGGGAGACCCTTCCGGGCCATACCTCCAGCATCCAGTACGCCAGCATCTTCCGCATGTGCGGCTTGATCTCCCTCTGCACACACTGGAAGTAGGAGGCGCGGGGCACGTAGCGCTCCTCCAGGCGGAGCAAGCTCTGCAGGACACGCTGGTCCCCGAGCAGTCGCGGGTCCGGCCCGGCCCGGGGCGCGTGCCGGGTGCCCTCGCAGCACAGCAGCTCCATATTCGGGCGGCGCACAGGCGGGCGGGAGCTCGGACTCGGGAGCCAGAACGCAGGCGGCGGTCGGCAGAGCGCGGGGCGCGGGTCTGGTGCTGGCGCTGGCACTGCGCGGCCGAGCCCCAGCCCGCCCGCGCCGGCGCGCGCGCCGCTTCCCTGACAGGCGCCCCGCCCCTCGCGACGATGTAGCAACCGTGGAATGCTCAAGCGCCGCAACGCACAAGGGGCGGGGCCGCCGGAGCCCAGGACGGAAAGGGCTGGCTGGCCGCCCCCTCCCCCCGGGCGGCGGCATTGGTCGGCGGGGCGCGGGCCGGCCGGCTTCCGGGCGCTCCCGGCCGCTCCCGGCCCTTCTGACCACCCGGAGGAGAGAAGCTCCGTGGAGGTGGGCCTCTTCCCCACCGACCAGCCCTCCCCTTTGGCTTCTCCAACTCGAGCCGCCCAGGAAAGAACTTTTTTCCAAAGGTTATTCATTCATTCGTCAAACCCTGCTTCACCAACCGCCCCCCACCAAAGGCTCTGAGAATAAGCTAGCCACTTGTTCATGCACACCGGTCTAAGCACTTAACGTGTAACGACTTACTAAATAATTTCTCACTCGCGCTCTACGAGTCACGTATGAGACTCATTTCGCAGATGACGAAACGGCAGCACAGTGAGGGTCACAATCATAGTCTGTGGCCCAGCTAGGACTGGGAAGCTGAAGTCTGGCTCCAGAATCCGTGCTCCGCGCCACGGCCACGGCCACGAAAACTGCGATCCCCAGCCAGGCAAAATTGGCATGGCCCGAGAGCTGCTGAGAAATGGCCCACCTCGGACTTGCTGGGTCCAAATCTGCATTTCAACAAGATCCCTGGGGCTCCCTGGGCACACCTAAGTATGAGAAGGACGGGTCTAAATCTGCATATTACAGTGATACAACGGGGCGGAAAGGCCATGGATTCAAGGCCTCACCTTGTCATTCAGTTGGCTGGGTGGCCTTGGACAAGCCTTAGTTGCTGTTTGAGGAAAACATGGGTGGAGAAACTAGATCCTCTGTGAAGAGAATTCCTGGCTCTAGCTCTGTAAAATCTCCCAGCTCCATTTCTTCTACTTCCCATAGTCTGGGTTACTTCGCAGTTTCCCCAAAGCCGGATTCTATGTGACAAAGGGCCAGACCATAGGCTTCCTGGAAGGCTCCAAATGGGAGAAGGCCCGAGGAGATGCCTGCCTTTCCTGGGATCCTCCCCAGGAAGGAGCCACTGACGAAGTGAGTTGTTAGAGAAATGAGTTACGGAAAAGGCAAGTTTTACGCTAAGCATTTTCTCAATGAATTTGTTTTTTTTTTCTTTATTTTTAAACTAACCTCTGTTCCCAACGTGGGGCTCAAACTCACAACCCGAAGATCTAGAGCTGCCTGCCCTTCTGACTGAACCGGCCTTGCGCCCCTGTTCTTTTAGTGTCATTTTCATATCATAGGCATACTCATTTACACTATAGAAAACTTAAGACAATATGTATAAGCCACAAAAAAAGGGAAATAACCACCTACAATTTCACCATCCAGAGACAACACTTTAAAATGTTAGTGTTTATCTTTCCAAAATTTTTCTACAAATAAACATATTTTTAGGAATAAGATTGCAAGTTGTTTCGTAAGCTTTTTCACTAAAAAAAAAATACTGTTAATACTTTTCCCATATCATTAAATAGTTTAATGGCTATGTAGTATGCCTTTGGTGAATGTATCAAAATATATTTTACCAAAGCTGTATTGCTGGAAATTTTAAGTTGTTTCTAGTTCTTCACTACGAGAAAAAATACTGTAAAATATTTTTGTCATATCATTGTGCACACTCATGATTATTTCTAAAATGAATTAATTTCTAAAAGTGAAATTTCTCAATGTAAGGTTATGAAACATTCTAAGGCTTTTGATACAGTTCTTATTACCAAATTTCCCTGATAAGAATCTGAACAGAGGGGCGCCTGGGTGGCTCAGTTGGTTAAGTGTCTGCCTTTGGCTCAGGTCATGATCCCCAGGGTCCTGGGATCACTCTGGGCTCTCTGCTCCTTGGGGAGCCTGCTTCTCCCTTTCCCTCCGACTGCTGCTCCCTCTGCTTGTGTTCTCTGACAAATATATAAATAAAATCTTTAAAAAAACAAAAAAGCTGAACTGATCTAATGAACAAACATTAGAAAACTTGAAAGAAAAAAAACTGCCAATTGGAGAGATGAAAATAGCAAATACTGTATCAGTAATTACATGTATTTTTAATTCAAGAGCACTTGTATCAACATGTATGTGTGCCATGCACTTTGCCTGATCCTGTGAGTCCTTTCCTCTCCCTGTCTTCAAAAATACAAACATGTGGGGTGTCCGGGTGGCTCAGTGGGTTAAAGCCTCTGCCTTCAGCTCAGGTCATGATCCCGGGGTCCTGGGATCGAGCCCCGCATCGGGCTCTCTGCTCGGAAGGGAGCCTGCTTCCTCCTCTCTCTGCTTGCCTCTCTGCCTACTTGTGATCTCTCTCTGTCAAATAAATAAATAAAATCTCAAAAAAAGAAAACCTTTATCTTTGATGAGAAAGTAAATCATCATTATTTCATATCTTAAAAATTTTCCAGACTTCTTGAGCTATAATGACATATACCTAAGTTGTAGTAGTTTAAGTTAGACAACATAATGATTTGATGTATGTATATGTTGCAAAATGACTATCCCAATCAGTTAACAACTATCACTTCACCTAGTTTCTCCTCTTCTGATGAGAACTTTTAAGATCTACTCTCTTAGCGAACTTCAAATATACAATATAGTAGTTAACTATAGTCACCATGTTGTGCATTGTATCTCCAGAACTTTTCTACCTTATAACTAAAAATTTGTACCTTTTGGGGTGCCTGGTGGCTCAGTGGGTTAAAGCCTCTGCCTTCGGCTCAGGTCATGATCTCAAGGTCCTGGGATCGAGCCCCGCATCGCGCTCTCTGCTCCGCCAGGAGCCTGCTTCCTCCTCTCTCTCTGCCTGCCTCTCTGCCTACTTGTGATCTCTGTCTGTCAAATAAATAAATAAAATCTTTTGACCACCTTACCATTTACCCTACCTGCCACACTTCCCCACCCCCTGCCTCTGACAAGCAACAATCTGTTTTCTGTACCTGAGTTTAGTTTCCTTAGATTCCACGTACAAGTGACATCATATAGTACTTGTCTTTCCCTGTCTGACTTATTTCACTTAATATAATGGCCTCAGGGTCTGTCAATGTTGTCATAAATGGCAAAATTTTTTTCTTTTTTAGTGGCTGAATAATCTTTATACACACACACACACACACATATACATGCCACATTTTTATAGAGAAAAAACTACAGATGAAAAGTGGAATATTAGTAATAATATTTTGACAAGTTATTAGACATTTACATATTTTATGTAAATGAATTACCTATTTATGTCCTTTGCCCATTCTTTTTTTTTTTTTAAAGATTTTATTTATTTATTTGTGAGAGAGAGAGCGAGCACAGGCAGACAAAGTGGCAGGCAGAGGCAAAGGGAGAAGCAGGATCCCCGCCGAGCAAGGAGCCCTATGCGGAACTCGATCCCAGGACGCCGGGATCACGACCCGAGCAGAAGGCAGCTGCTCAACCAACTGAGCCACCCAGGCATCCCTCCTTTGCCCATTCTTTTTTTTTTTTTTTTTTTTTTAAAGATTTTATTTATTTATGTGACAGATAGAGAGAGAGAGGAGGAAGCAGGCTCCCGGCTGAGCAGGGAGCCCGATGCGGGGCTCAATCCCAGGACCCTGGGATCATGACCTGAGCCGAAGCCAGAGGCTTTAACCCACTGAGCCACCCAGGCGCCCCTCCTTTGCCCATTCTTTTATATGATTTTTTTTCTTATTGATTTATAAGCACTTGTTACATTTGAAGGCTATTAACCCCTTTTCATATTTTTCTTTGTCATATATTTTGTAATTTTTATTTTTAGTTCATTGTTTGCCTTTCACTTTTGATTCATGGGAGATTTTTCTTTTTCTTTTTCTTTTTCCTTTTTTTAAAGATTTTATTTATTTAGGGGCGCCTGGGGCTCAGTGGGTTAAGCCTCTGCCTTTGGCTCAGGTCATGGTCTCGGGGTCCTGAGATCCAGTCCCGCATCGGGCTCTCTGCTCAGCAGGGAGCCTGCTTCCCTTCCTCTCCCTCTCTGCCTGCCTCTCTGCCTACTTGTGATCTCTGTCTGTCAAATAAATAAATAAAATCTTAAAAAAAAAAAATTTTATTTATTTATTTGACAGACAGAGATCACAAGTAGGCAGAGAGGCAGGCAGGGACAAAGAGCGGGGAAGCTGGCTCCTCGATGAGCAGAGAGCCCGATGTGGGACTCCATCCCAGGACCCCAGGATCATGACCTGAGCTGAAGGCAGAGGCTTTAACCCACTGAGCCACCCAGGCACCCCAATGGGAGATTTCTTCTTATTGACAAATAAAAGTTTTTTATTTTACATAGCCTTATCTACTGATATTTTCTGCAATGACTTCTGCCTTTGAATCATGCCTTGTCCACCTTAAAATTTATAAAAGCGCTACAAGAAAATGTAGGAAATATTTACAGATGAATGTTTTTTATCACCTAGGAAACTTGTTGAAAATGCAGTTTTCTGACCCCTGCTTCAGGGCTTTTCATTCTTCAAGTCTGTCATGAGGCCCCCAAAATCTGCATTTTCAGGAGTACATAAACTTGGGTGTTTTTGGTTTTTTTTTTTTTAATGTATACATTGTTACCTACCTTTACTCCTTGTATCATATTAAGTGGGGCT